CTTTTGAAGAACAACATCAGTTGCAATGTTGAAAAAATGAAAAAAATCAGTGTGATTTCCATTCATAACAATGATTCGCATAGTCTTCGAATATTATCGGTAGACGATAGTATGGAGTTTGAAGATGATTCAAAGAAAGATGCTGGTGAAATTCAGAAGGAATGAGAAATGATTGTTAAATTCTTGTTTGCTTAGCAAATACTGATCTTTCCCACAGTTTAGACATGAGGCATATTTGATATTTAGACCTAGATAAATAAGTTAAATTCTTCAATATGATGGTAATTCATGCCAAGAAAGCGGGTTGCTGATGGTGAGCCGCATTAGCTACAAATAGTTATTGGATCCATTGATGAATAAGTTAACTAGGCGATAATCCACTAATAACACCACAATGTGTGTTTGTTTGCAATGAACTGTAAACAATAAGCAGCTAAATAATCCCCATAAAAAACCTTTTATGGTTCTGTAACAACTTTAAATATCTGTGGTAATTAGGAATACAAATATCTCAATTATTAACCAGTATTTCATTCAGTAGGTGTAACTTGTGATCCAAATAAAATCCCACTGTACAAAACTCACCACTCACCCACATGCATTTATTTTTAGTAAACTTCAAACGCCTTCTGAAATCAAGCTGAACAACTGGTGATCAGATAAAGTAACATTTTTTACAGCGGTACACATGAATCAAAATAAACTGTTTAATTTTATCGTACGGTACTGCAAAACAACAACAACAATGGCGTATATTAAAAAAATGGTCAAAATAAAGTAGAGAATGTAGTTAAAATAAGATTTCGCTCTAGTATGAGGTTCTCATGCCATGTTGAAAGTCGTCTCCGTAAAAAAGTTGATTTCATAATCATTCATTTTCGTTAGCCATTTAACCGAAGTCTTTACAAATTCTTTTGAACTGGTAAACATATCAATTTGTTATACAACAATAATAATTACTATTATTTAACATAGTGTTACTCACTTTGATCATGATTTTCATTTAGATTGTTACTTTGGTTAGTGAATTACCCTTGAGGATAAAGAGAAAACAGACTGAAAGACAAGCTCACAAATGAAACTGGGGAAGCGATTGTTCTAGTATGAATATAAATCTACTTTGTTTAAATACCTCACCTGGAATAAATCAAGACATTTTTTCTGCATTCATTTGACTTACATAAACCATTTCTAAAGTTTATCTATTCAGTATTTTGTTATTCTTTTTACTAAATATTCATTAATAATTTATTTTTGTTGTTAATAGTGACCAGTGGATATTACTGTAGTTTTTATTCACCTATGTTGTAGTTAAATAAACAAATAAACATATTTCAAATAGCACAAAGCAATAACACAAACATCAGCAACGACAACAACAACAACAACAGTGGTGATGACTACTTGTCATTCAACTAATCCACATAATAGTTGATTCTATCTTCTTAGGACATAGTACTTAATATCGAGTGAATCAACAAGTCTACTAAATATTCCAAGTATCTTATACATATTCGCTTTTATACTTACTGTTCACATAAACGAGAAAATCATTTTTTTGGTCAACAATAAGAGATGAAAGACTGATTCTACAAATTGATTTTCAAGCATTTAAGTCAATGGTCAATGAAAATTTGATATTATTCTCTATTGCTTATCTGTGGACAAATAAAATTTGAAAAGTGAAAAATAATTCATTGAAAGATAGGAAAATGTTTGTCGATTTAGGTTCAACATAATTGTTTTGATAATTCTTCATAATAAGTTCCTTCTCTTACTTCATTTAACTAATGACAAAAATAATTAAGCTGTATTATTTTACAAAAGTATAAATTTAGAAGAGAATAAAAAATTTGAATTGAGAGAATTCGATATATGAATTTCTTTTCTAAAGTTGCCATCTGTATCCACTCATCAAAGTTAATAGATTATATTTAAACATTCTCATGAAAAATTGATCCTTTGCTGAAAAACTATTTGAAAGTACTAAAAAGATATTTTGGATTATCTAGAAACACTTTCGAAATTGAAAATCAGCACCAGCATACAGAATTTTACACAATATTTAGGTTTTCATCGATACATCCTTGATCATTCTGCCCACCAGTCTTTATTTAATATTCCGGAAGAGAAAGAGCTGTCTCAACCTGCTCTGTTGTACCATCGCTGTTTCATGTTGGAGATTCAGCAAACGTTAAAACTAGGTTGTGACTATCTGTAAGTTCATGTTAATCTCAACTCACACTAAAATCCCTCTACGGATGTCAGATTAAGATCAAACACCTAATTCGATTAGCCGTAGATTTTATTTATTGTAAACGGTTTACATTCTCTATTTACTTTTCCAGTAAATGTAATGTAATTATAGGATGAAGATTTCGATGCTTATCAATACTGATAACTCATACTCAATAAAGAGGACTGTTCTCCGAAATTTGGCAACACATCTGAATTCCATCAGTGAAAGATAAAGCTGGAGGATTTTGTTTCTGTAGTCATTGCTTCTATATTTTTCGCTTCTTATCATTCCTACTAGATCAAACAGATAGACTGTTTTTTAGTTTAGTGAAGTAACTGCCATTCATTTAAGTTACTTAGTCCTCGGGTTACATGTGAACAGGCCTCATGTTTTTTCTAGATAAAAATTTAAACATGGTATATTTTATATAAGGCAACATCAAAAAAATTTAGAGTAATTTTCTGATGTATAAAATTTGGGGGACTTACTGTAAAGATTACACGTAATTGAAAGTGTACGAAACTTATTAACAGTGAATAAGAAGTGCGTTAAACTATTCGTTAGTGAGATAATTTTTATGCCAATTTTTTTTACTTTATCAAACAATAAGACAGAATAAAAAACACATATTATGCACAATATTAAGGTTTATTTTGTTCTGTCCACATACCATAAAC